TATTCTATGTCCAGCTCTAATGGGTATTCTAACAATGGAGGTGTTTGCATTGTTAGTTGAAAAGATTATACATATTCTGATCAAATCAAAGCTTTCTCCGAGAAACTATTAAATTTAAAATATAGGCTGCCCTTAACGTACACAAGTCAAAATATTTGAATCTTAAACCATTTACGGTATATGTCAGCTGCTTGCAGTTAACACTCTTAACACAATTTTTCTTCCTTTTTCATAATGGTTAGATAGAGCTCATCGAGTTGCATAAGGAAAACTGTGTTTCAAATTAAAAAAAGTTTCTTTTTATAAAAGTCAGAACTTTGAATCTATTTGTTTCCAACGGCTAAAAGCAAAAATTCCGTAGCCCAGCGTACATTTTAAATTCAGTACATTCTGAGTGAAAACTTTAATTTGACCCGAATATGTCTAGTCCTTTCAACTAACAATACAAACAACCCCATTGTATTAGAAAAAAAAGAATGATATAAGTAGTTTAGCAGTGATTGATAATTAATCAAAAAATATTCACATAAATAACTTTGAATAGAACAAAATATTCGAAACTCAACAATGTTTATTTTCAACATTGAGAAAACAAATTCATTTTACTAATCAAGTACATACCCAAATCAATGATTTCGTCCTCCAGAACCAGCTGACACTCGCATCTCATCGAAAAATCGTCGGACAATAACGGAACTGACTGTATTCGGCAATAAAGATCTTTCTTTTCCACTACCTTAAATTTAATATATTCTTGAGATTGAGATCACTACAAATGATACTAAATTGCTTTCTAAGATTTTTCAGGGGCGCAACTCTTGCCTTTAGAAGTTTTTTGAGACACCAATCTCGATTTTAAGCAAAAAAGAGCATTAAAGCACTTTCAAGATCTTCTTTCTTAACTACCTTAATTTTAAGGCATTTTTAAGACTTAGATTACTAGAGCGATAGAAAATCGCTTTCTAAGATCTTTCAGTCAAGCAATGACTGATTTTGAAGGATTTTTGAGACCATAATCTTAATTTTAAGAAAGAAGATCTTTAAAGATCTCTTTTTGTAAGTATTAGATTTCTCACTGAAAACAGGTAAACAACTGTGATGATGTCTGATATTTGATTGCGTTTGTCAAAGTTTGGTTGAGAATGATTTTGCCTGCTATCGATTTTTAAGGCATTTTATTGATATGTGCGTTGCGACTCGAGTGAACTCTAGCGTGTCGTGCGTGCATATACACAGGGTCTAGACTGTCTATTAATGAATAGTACGCTATGTCTGTGAACTGATCACGGATGACGAATTTTTGAGACTGAAATCCTATTGTGAAGGGAAATGATCTTTAGGGATCTGTTTCTTATGCGTGTTAAATCTGTATCTGTGACTTACCTTTACAGATATCTTGAACAGCTGTGACTATGACTGGAAGCACATGGAAAACTGTGAGGAAGTCTGATATTTGATCGCCTTCGTCGAAGTTTGGTTGCGAAATTTTCCACTTGTAATCGATTATTAATCAGAAAAAAATCGACCAAAATCAGATTTTGTCGGTTGTTTTTACATGAGTTACTATCTGATTGTTTAATCTGAGTTGAAATAACAAGATCCGAGGCGCATCCAGTTTCCGGATCCGATCTAGAAGGCTAGATTGAAAATGCTCGCCTTCGGGCTACGTAACCACAACGGAAACTCTTGAATACAGCGTCGATATCCTGTCGCTTCGATAAAAGCATCAGAATCGTTGCCAGGAAACGTATTCGAAGATAGCTACCAGAGGCAGGAACTGAGCTAGAATCGGCAGCCGAATCGGATTTAGGAATTCTACTTTCAGAGCGCGCAGGCAAATCACTGGATCCTGTCGTACATCTTTGATCTGGGTATTTCTGAACTAGAAAATCAGATCGCCATTCGAGCCAATAGTAAAAGTTGTCGAAATCTAAAAATACTAATTGTTCTTATAATTGAGAACAGTTCAGTACTGTTTAAAACAAGTGAGTGACTCATTTCAATGAAATCTATACTTATTCCTACTTCACACTTTTGTTTCATTTCAGCGCCACTGCGTGCAAGTTTCACTGATATCCGTCCGAATACAAAATGGATACAGAATGGTCTCACTGTCGCTGGAGGAAATGGAAAAGACAGTGGAATCAACCAACTCTCTAACCCATGGGGCTTATATGTCGATGATGATCAAACTATTTATATTGCTGATACTTCAAATCACCGCATTGTGGAATGGAAATGTGGTGCAACGATTGGCCAAGTGGTTGCCGGTAAAAATGGAAGTGGAAACGGAACTAATCAGTTAAACTACCCATACGATGTGATTATCGACAAAGAGAGAGATAGTCTCATTATCTCCGATTACAATAATAAAAGAGTAGTTCGATGGCCTCGTCGAAATGGTACCAGTGGAGAAACTATCATTTCAAATATTGGTTGCGTCGGTTTGACAATGGATGAGAATGGATCTGTCTATGTTGTTGACTATGGAAAACATGAAGTGAGACGATATCGAATTGGTGACACAGAAGGAACAGTAGTTGCAGGTGGCAATGGAAATGGAAATCGTCTTGATCAACTCTCTTACCCTTGGTGCGTATTTGTCGATCGAGATCATTCAATGTACGTGTCTGATCGTAACAATCATCGTGTAATGAAATGGGAAGAAGGTGCAAAACAAGGCATTGTCGTAGCCGGTGGTCAAGGAGATGGAGGTAGTCTTATACAATTGTCATGTCCTCGAGGAGTCATTGTCGATCAATTAGGCACTGTCTATGTAGCTGATCAAGGCAACCATCGAGTCATGCGTTGGTCAAAAGGAGCCACACAGGGAAGTGTCGTTGTTGGTGGAAATGGGCAAGAAGCACAGTCGAATCAACTCTATTATCCCATGGGTTTATCATTCGATCGACATGGCAATCTCTATGTCGCCGAGTACGGCAATCATCGAGTACAAAAATTTAATATCGAATAAACTCAGTACGATGATTCATTTTTTTTATTCTCCTTCTCTTACAAATAAATCGCGATTAAATAAAAAAGAATTCATAACTATTCTATTTGCACGCGCGCGCGACCAGGAACCATCCTGGTGGAGCCGTGGTGAGCGTGAAGCTCATGCACACACGGGACAGACTCTCATCATTCACATCAGAGATGTATCAAAGAGCCTGGTGCAGGCCCGGTCGTGTGCCACGGACACCAAGACAGTCCCTGACCGAGCTTTTAAGGACTACTCGGAAGTCCTTCAGAAAACGCGAAGCCTAACCTCAACGAATATAACTCACCCCATCCTCTTACTAACACTCATTTTCTTTAGAGCAATTCTATTCTCATCTCAAAAGAAAAAAAAAATAATTACTTACTTTCTCTCTATGTTGGACGATGATGATAGTGTTGTTGATGATGAAGACGATACAAATATATTGATGGATAAAAGAAAAAGAAAAAAATTCGATGAGCATCATAAAATTAAAAAGAATGAGATAACTTACCCCACTGTTATCTGTTTCATTGACCTCGGAAAAATTTTTGATCTAAACCGAAACAAAATAAAAGCAAAGAAAGAAGAAGCTACTTACAGTCTCTGACATGTTCATGTCCACCTGAAAGAAATGAAAGAAAAAAAATTAAGTAGAAAAAGCTCTTACTTACTTAGAGTATGTAATAGCTAAAATAAAAAAACATACATAAAATAGATCAAAAGGGGACTTACCACCCTCCATATAATCAAAAAAAGAAAAATTAAAAAAACTAAAACCGATACCTACATTTTTTTGTATTACTTTGTTTGGTATGATGTTGTTAGATATTGTATCGTCGAAGGCAATCTAAAACATAAGAAGGAAAGATTATTATTTGATTCAATAAATTGAATGATTTTTCGAGGGAAAATCATTCATATTTATATATCAAAAGATCATTTTTTTCTTGTCGGAGAGTGATTAAATAGCGATATTAATTAAGCTATAATCGGGACACATACCTACATTGAGATAAATTCAATTACAATATCTCAATGTATGTGTATGGATAAAGCTTAATTGATATACACAATGATAACATGAGCGATGACTTATGGGCAAGAAAAGGAAAAAACAATGAAAGAAAAAAAAAAGTTGTTATTGTTCACATGATCAGTTGTGAGTACGAAGCAGACGAAGTCGAACATACATGCGATACTCGAGTCTGTATTTATTTTTTTTCTCGTTCAATAGAGTAACAAAGCAAAAAGATTTATTACATATTTGCAGAGAAAATTTTTAACAAATAATTTATGTTAGATTTGTTCTTGTAGCTGCACAAGAAACGATACTCAAATTACTCTTTTTGATATAATGAATGTCAACTTATTATAATTATTAAAAGTTTCAAATGTTTATATTGACTATGATCATTAACTAAAGGAATAAGTAAATTATTTTAGAAACAAATAAAAAAATGTAATTCTTTTTAGATCCTCATTACGGAATATAGGAAGTGTTTTCTTCTGGAGAAAAAAAACAACATTCACTCTAACGAGATTGCATGGCATCACATTTATTGAAAAATTTGTTTTCTCAAGAGCTCTTTTAACGAAGTGATACAAAATAATATTAGTTAAGTTTAGCAAAATGTATACCTCATCAAACATTTTTATTATTATATCGTTTTAAGAACCTTCTATATTACATCAAATACAATAGAAGATAAATAGTGGATCGTTTTAATCAACATCATCGAAGTCAAATATCGAATATGATTTTAACTTTAATGAAATAATATAATAATAACTTCATTTTTTTATACTTTATGGTAAATTATTCTGGCATTGATCTATGTTAGCTATATCATTGATAGATGAAACAAGAATTTGATGACAATCAATTTGTCGTTGAAGTTGAGCACTTTTTGTGACACCTATTTGAAATGATTTGTTTTATAGTGAATTTAAAAAAAAAATTTTATATGTCATTTTACAATAATGTCATCAGAAATATTTTAACTACGTACAATAGGTAAATTATAAAGAAATAATATGATAAAATTTTTATTATTCTTTTACATGTTAATTTTCAGTTGTTTAGCTTGAATATACGTATAACGTTTTTGTACTTCAGAATGAACATGTGCTTTCGTAATTATATCAATTATTGTTGGTATTGTCTGACGAAGTTTAAGTTAATTTTATATCAAATACGAATCAACTTGACCACTGCCAACGGTACAAATACATATGACTGATAAAGAGAATATAGAATTGTTAGTAACTATTGAAAGTGATCGTCGAACAAGACAATGTATAAAACAACCTCGGATAACATGAATAAGTGTGGACAAGGTATTAAAGATATAGTTCTAGAAAAAAATGTTCAACGCAAAGCTTCTATGAAAATTTTTCATGGTAGCTTATTTGTAACTATTATTCTTAAGATTAAATGTGAATAATCAGAGTAAACACTCATTCTCAAATTACTTATTAAAGTTCTTATGATTTATTCTTAAAGATCATGGGAGAAGAAAAAAATCTAGTTGAATTAAAAGTCTAGAAACTCAAATTATTAAAGAATGATTTTTCATTCATTTTACGAAATAGTTTTGTGTCGTAAAATGAATTATCAGTAGAAATTAAAATTCTTATGTATGAATATGTTTTTCTTTCATATTGAGTATATTTTGTTTTTTTTTCTAACTTCAATCATCGATCGTTCTCTTCTATTTAATTGTGAATCAGATGTTATATGTCCTTCTTCAAAATAAGTACGTGAAAAATTAATATCTACAATAATCATTGCGACATTTTTATTATTCATGGATTGAAAGAAGTATTACAATTTGTATATCTATTCTAAATGGTATTCGTGCCTGTGGTAGAAGTGAAAGTCTCACAACTACATCTTGATAGATCAAGGTTTTTTCATTATGATAAAAAATAGAAGAGTAGAATACAAGAAACATTAAACTTATGAGACACGAAATATAAAAACAATTCTTCAGATATTTTCTGATACTTGAAAAATTTCTTCATCTTATCGAATTATTATTCAATTGTCTATTACACTAAACTAATTTATCATCATAATTCTTATATGCTATCATATAAGAAAATGTATTTAAAAATTCTAAGTGATAATAACACTTATCGATTAGTGATTCACATTTCTGAGAAAAAAAAATGAAAATTCTTCACTTTAAATCCTACAAATAATATTCTTTTGATAAATTCTAGGAAGAGTTAACTCACTTCAGGAATAAATCTTTTAAATAATTAAAATTATTTTCTTTATTTATTTACGAGAAAATTGTTTGAGACATGCATTCATTTAATAATTTATTATTTATACAACAGAATTTTATTATTCAATGAAATATTTTTAGACAGTCATATTCATGATGGAACGGATCAATTTTAGACAATATACTATCATTGTCTTTTCTATCGATAGAATAGCGAATGCTCTGGAAACTGTTGATTTTTACTTTTTAAAAATATTTTCTCTTATGAAAAAATCTAAAAGTTTAAAACGTAATCAATCTGCAAACTACATTTTTATGTTTTTTTCTTAGATATTATCGATTGATTTAAGCCTTTTCTCCATAAAATTTGACATGAATCCATGTAAATTTTTCTGTTACGATTTACAAGAAAAAGAGTTGGAACTAGCCAGGTGATAATGTTCACGTGAAATCAAATTTTTCAAAACTCACATTTGGTTATACCAAATTTGTTTACACATCTTCAAAAATAGAATTGAAATCTAAAAGATATTGATGTAAATATTCTATCAGAAAAGTGGTTTTGTTTTGTATTATCACATTCTTGAATTCACAAAAGAATTTTCTTGTTCATTTGCTTTTCGAAATTTTGAAATTTAAATAAGGGGATGTAGAATTTCATAATGAATCTTATGCTATGTTTATAATTTCAAGAAATTCATCATCGTCTTTTGAATCTTTATCTGTCATGATTAGAGAATCAAACGTTGTCAAACTTTTAAAGTTTTCAATGAGACTATACCGGCTGGGCTATAACTAGCACCATAATTTTAAAAATTATTGAGTTTTCTAAATTAAATAAATATGAATGCTACGAGTATGTGTTACATGTTAGTAGCGAATGTATTATTTCTCTTTGCAAAACAGTTCATATTCTTGATAGTAAATTATTTTGTAAAAAAAAACTGATATATTTCTTTTCATACACAAAACTCATGTAATAATCAGTTTTATGATCTTCATGAATTTCGATTAATTAACATTGATTTGAAGAAAATTAGCCTTTCTTTCACTAGTTTAATTCTAAATAGAGATGTTTTTTATTATTATTCAAAGACATTTACTCATAAGAAGACTCGATGATTGTTCCTTTTTTTCTTGTGAGCTGAGTGCTATTGAAATCATATATTCGTAAGTTGATTTTTTTGAACCGAAATAATCTATGATTTGACATACGATTTTATGTTCGTGAAGTACCTAAGATTTTATATTGCTCAATTAGAACTAAACAAAAATTCATTACAGAATATTGTGAATATTCAATCCTTCATACATTCTTTTATTATTGGACACCTATTTCGATCATGAGTGTTTCGTGAGCAATTCGAAATTTAAAAAAAAAAAGTAACGAATTACATGAACACAATCACATTTCTATTTTGACATAATGAAAACTACAACAATAAAATTTCTGCATTCCTATTCGTATTCTTTCTATTCGTCACTTACCTTTTATTTACAATCGCACCTCTGACAACATTCACTTTCACAGTTCCTTTGATTTTCTAGTCAACTTTTTTGTTTTTTGTATTACATTTTTTCGATTATAACTAACCAAATAATTCTTTAATTATAATCATTTTCAGAAAATAATCATTGAATAATTTAAACTTAATAAAATTGTATTTTACATATTATACTTTTCATGAAAATACATACACAGGTCGCCTTCTGTCGGAATACTTGAATAATAATTTAATAACTGAACTCAAATTTCAA